TAGGGTGGATTTTAGTTAGGGATGATTTTAATATAATTTTAATTATTACACAGCTACTAATATTTGGCTTTTAATTTGGTTTTAGAGGGGTTTTTATTCTGGTATTTTATTGTTATTTGTTTTAATATGCTGTGCACCGCCCTGAGTCCTCCGGGAGAAGGGCGGTATATAAATTAAATTAAATAAATAAATAAATAAATAAATAAATAAATAAACAACCTTCCCGTTCCTCATTAGATCGAAGAAAGGGCTTCAACTGGCTCCCCACGGCTACCGGATCTCTGAATGTTGAGTAGTCCCCTTACAACATATTCAGAATACAAGTTATATCCAGCACTGAAGGTTGGTAGAAAAGTTCAGAAAAGCAGCTTGTGCCAATGATGGTTTGTGCTTCCTAATCAACATGTTTTTGCTCCGTAGGGCAAGTATTTGGTCAATAGGGAGCCCCTTAACCAGGATCTCTTACCACGAGCATGATAAAAATGCTGCATCCTTTCCATTCCCACAATTCTTTGACCTATTGAGGACCCTCATGGTATGTTCACCTTCCCATAGATCCTTGGATTCTCTCTTGGGAGAAGGAAGGAACTATAAAACGAACGTACGCGCCCTGGATGACAACATTGGGGGATGCACCCTGGATGACAACACTGGGAGATACTGGTGGCTATTCGGGACTGCTCGGGCTACGACTTCCCAAATTCTGGACTTTTCCAAAGTAGCTCAAAAGGGCAGGATTCAGGCTTTCCTGTTTATTTGGCTGACTGGAGTGGTGGAGGACCATATCTGATTCCCAGACAGCATCAGCTCCTGGTATTTTCCCACCACCTCCTGGTAAATGGGGCTGTTGTTCTTCAGAGCAAACTTAGCGGCAGAGTCTTCATAATGGGGTTGAAGGCTTGGACAGGGATAATTCCAACATTCTGGAGCAGGAGGCACGACAGGCTGTAGCTCCACAAAGACGGACGCTGGCGCTTTTCCTGAAAGCAGATAGTTGTACCTGCCCAAAAGATAAGGAGAACAACAGCAATGGTTACCGTTTACGAGAGATTGCATCAAGAAAGACATTATCGTGCACCACATTCTACAGACTACTTAGAACTACAGGTAGTTCTCAACTTAAAAACCATCCGTTTAGTGACTGGTCAAAGTTACGACATCACTGAAAAAAGGTACTCCTTGACTGAAGGGCACAATCGGGACCAGAACTTCCAGTTGTTAAAGTGAGGCGCACTCGATTTTACGAATTTTTTCCCCCATGGTTGTTAAGTGAAACATTGCGGGTCAGTGGTTGTTAAGCAAATTCAATTTCTCCCCCCTTGACTCTGCCTGTCATAAGTCAGCTGAGAAGGTCGCAAATGGTGATCACATGACCTCAGGATGCCGTGGTAAATATAGGTTATCCTCGATTTACAACAGTTCATTTACTGACTGCCTGAAGGTGCAACGGCGCCGAAGAAAAGCAACAGATGACAATTTTTTCACACTTATGACCCTTGCAGCATCCCCAGGGTCCCATGATGAAAATTCAAGATGCTTGGCAACTGGTTCATCTTTATGACCGTCTTAGTGTCCTGTGATTCCCCTTTTGCGACTTTATGACAAGCAATGTCCACAGGAAAGCCCGATTTACTTAACCACCATGTTAGTAACTTAACAACTGCAGTGATTCTGCCAGAAAGTTCGTAATGTCGAGCAAAAATCACTTAACAAATGTCTCACTCTGTGGTAGAAATTGGGGCTCCATGGTGGCCATACGTTGAGGACCACCGGTATTTCAGAATAAGCTGAGACAAGAGCCAGTTTTGACATATCTCAGTCCGAACTGTGGGGATGCCACGGTTCGCTGCTGGGCTAGCTAAGCAGGAATCAAGTGTCAGAGATGATGGTCTCCTGAGATGCGAGTAGGGTTTGAAGAAATAAGCCCTTTTCACCAATAGGTTTGGTGAACTGGTGTAAGGAAAACAGCCTAGTTTTAAACACTGGAAAAACCAAAGAGATCATTGTCAGTTTCAGAAAAGGCAGGCACAGCCACACTTCTCTGTGCATTAATGATTCCCCTGTGGAGATGATTACCAGCATCAAATTCCTGGGTGTGCAGTTAACAAGCAGGCTGGCTTGGTGGCTCAACAGTGAGACACTGGTGAAGCAGGCATAGCAGCGCCTGCATTTTCTGCGTCGCATGAGAAAAGCACATCTTCTTTCCCCTGTCCTGACCACTTTCTACAGGGGGACGATTGAGAGCATCCTGTCATACAGCATCACAGTCTGGTTTGGAAGCATCCCTGCTTCAGACAGGAAGGTGGTGCAGAGAGTGGTGAGGATGACCGAAAAGATCATTGGCAGTTCCCTCCCTTCCATCCAGGACATGGCATATAAGCGTTGCTTGAGTAGGGTCCGCAAGATTGTCTGGGACACTACACATCCTCTTCACGACTTGCTACCTTCTGGGAGGAGGGGGCTCCGTGGTATCCAAAGCAGAACATCCAGATTCGGTCACAGTTTTGCTCCATACAGTATCAACCTTGTGAACTCTCAAGCTTCCTCCTTCCGTTATGTATTCAAGATGGACAGTGATTCATATTTATATGTTACTTATATGTAAGGGTGTAGGTCTATGCACATGTTGTATATCGTATGTTTTAAATGTGTGTTATGTATGTGTATACTTTGAGAGCAAGCAACTAAATTTCATTTTTAATGTGTGCCGTTGTGCCCACAGGAAAAAAATGACAATAAAAGTTATCCAAAGTCTCTGCCAAAGAGAGAGAGAGAGAGAGATCACCCCCGTTGCAACTAGACACTGAGAGGACTCTATTTTCAGAGTTCCACTAGGACACTGGGAAACTGAGAAACTCTCAGGAATACCACTACCCAACTGCTTGAACAGAACGTACACAGTGGTTGATCACAATAGCCCAAGGCACCAGAATTCCCTTTTAGTAGGCAGCCGGACTGAGATGGAAGTAGGAAAATCAGAACAAGAGAAAATGGAGGAGGAACAAAGCAGGAAGGAAATGATGTTCAGCTCTGGGCAGGGTCCCTCCACAACCCAGCTCTCCTCAGATCATGCAAAATCTCCAGCATTGAAGGGAGCTTGTGAAGCAGCTAATGTAGTGGAGTGTAGTCTGGATTCCCAGAAGGGAGGGGCTGCAAGGTTTAGATCAGTGATGGCGAACCTTTTAGAGACTGAGTGCCCAAACTGCAACCCAAAACCCACTTATGCATCGTCGAGTGCCGGGTGGGTGTGGCCCATTGGGTGGGTGTGGCCCATTGGGTGGGCATGGCCAATTGGGTGAGCGTGGCTACAGTGGTAACAAGCAGACTGGATGGGACTAAAAAGTTCAATCAATCAATCAATTCCAACTTTGCAAGATCTTTTTTTTCCCACGAGAAGTTGAAATTGACTGATTGAACCTTTTTTTTTTTTTTTTGCACACGGCGGTGGAGGCCTAAAGCGAAAAGGTTTTATAAAACCCAGCTGAAGGCCTAGGACTGGGGCGACGGTGCGCGTGCCCACAGAGAGGGCTCTGAGTGCCACCTCTGGCACCCGTGCCATAGGTTCGCCACCACTGGTTTAGATAGTTTAGTTGGAAGAGAATCCCGTCAGCTACTCCCTTTTTAATGATGCAAGTCATTTGCTTTAATTTGGCAAGATTCTGTCTATAGGTCAGGAATAATTCTGTCTATAGGGTTAGGGACTTGGGGGTTTATCTGTGCCTTCAAGGTCACCTGAGCTCCACGCCCATGTGCACTACACAAGTGACCCCGGGGACACAGACAAACCTCCAAGTGGCCTCAACAACTCTCCAAAAGGATGCAAATGACCAGCTGTCTGCAAGGAGTATAAATCCTTCCCTTCCCCACCATCCAGTCAGAGCTGAAAAAGCTTCTGGGATGAGAAGCGAAACGTCTTCAAAGAAAAAACAAGGAAGTCCAGTTGCCTCGTGAAAAAAAGCACCCTTGGGTCGAGGACTACCCATATCTGGGGGAGGAAAATATTTAGGAAAGCAACATATCTTACCGCCTCAGCTCCTTGGGAGGCATAATGTTTCCTTGAGCATCTAAAGGTGGAGCGCGACATTCACTTCTCAGCTTCAGCTGCTCACACTTGCTCACTTCGTCCCGCGTTAGGCTCAGGACTCGCTTTTTGTGCCTGAGGTCCACAAACAGGCCTTCCCCTTCAATGAACTTGAGGTAGGTGTTCCCATCCAAGAGGGAAGGAGGGGGGACCGGGGGCTCGGCCATGGAGGGCTTCCTGGGGGCAGTGATCCACCGCCAGGTGTTGCTGTCAAAAGGCTTGTCGGGTCTGGAGCGGTAGACGGGGGGCAATCTCCCTACATCCAGCCAGGTGTGGTAGCCCCAGATGTGCCAAAGGACAGCTTCCTCCAGCGGGCAACGGATTTTCTGGCAAACTTTGATTTTGGTATCTGTGTAGGGAGGCTTCTGAGTCGCTAGTTTGTGGTAGGGTCGGGGAGAAAATCCCGGCCATGGTGTATATTTCTCCGTACAAAGGTAGTGCCTCTCTTTCCAGGTAGACATCTTTGAAAAGGTCGGCAGAGAGGTCCTAGCTGGGAGAGAGAAAGTGGCTGACAGACCTCAGAAGCTCCAGAAATCTTAGCAATATTTTATTTATTTATCAATCTTGTAAGCCTAATAATAATAATAAAACTGCTTCCATCCTGCGACGATATCTGTAATACCATCAAACATCCACATCTGCCTATTCCAGGTCCTTGGGACGGACTCGATAGGTAGACAAAAATGCCAAATCCAGTCTGAACATCTGGCTGACTGTGCGATGATCAATAATAATAGTAAAAGTAAAAGTAAAAGTAATAATAATAATAATAATAATAATAACAACACCTGCAACATAACACCCCAGACTTAACAATTGTCGATAAGAAAGACAAAAAAGTCTGGATAGTGGACGTGGCAGTACCTGGAGACAGCAGAATAGACGAGAAAGAACTGGAGAAGATCACAAAATACAAAGACCTACAAATAGAAATAGAAAGACTGTGGCAAAGGCAAGCAAGGGTAGTACCAATAGTCATAGGCGCCTTGGGTGCAATCCCAAAACAACTGGAGCACCACTTGAACACCATCATCGGCATTGACAGATTCGCCATTAGTCAATTGCAAAAGGCAGCCTTACTAGGAACTGCTTCCATCCTGCGACGAGATCTGTAATACCATCCAACATCCACATCTGCCTATCCCCTTAGGAGGTCTTCCAGTCCAGCCCCCTGTTCAAGCAGGAGATCCCACGCCATTTGAGACAAGTGGCTGTCCAGTCTCTTCTTAAAGACCTCCAGTGATGGAGCACCCACAACTTCTAAATTTTTCATACCTTTAACAGAATAACAGAGTAACATAGCTGGAAGGGACATTGGAGGTCTTCGAGTCCAACCCCCTGTTCAAGAGGAGACCCTATACCATCTCAGACAAGTGGCTGTCTAGTCACTTCTTAAAAATCTCTACTGATGGAGCGCCCATGATTTCTGGTGGCAAGCTGTTCCACTGGTTAATTGTTCTAACTGTCAGGAAGTTTCTCCTTAGTTCCAGGTTGCTTCTCTCCTTGATTAATTTCCATCCGTTGCTTTTTGTCTTTCCTTCCGGTGTTTTGGAAAATAGGTTGACCCTCTCTTCTTTGTGGTAACCCCTTAGAACTTCCCTTGTCAATTCCGATGCAATACAAACATAGTTCCAAAACCAGAACATCTGGGAACATTAAATGTCTCCGTCTCCAGTTAATATATGTAATAACTGTCTCTCCAAATGGAAGAATTATAGGACACTGCACAAGCATCTTTTAAAAGCACGGCGTAGCCAATAACAATAATTTATTCAGGCCTTTTTTGATGTAAAGGTAACGGGAGTCCAATAAATCTATAATATTTTGCGGAAGAAGATATTATCCGAGATCTTTTGAAGATCTGGTATTGAGGTTGACACCTCGTTCCATCGCCTAGTTATAATAGGAATTGCTAATTCTTTCTTCCAGCAACCATTAAAGTTTGCAGTTCAAACTGAAGAATTTTTTGTTCTTTTTATAGCTTTCCTGGTGACAGATCCCTTCAGCTTTCTTGGCACGGTTTTGGAAGCTGTTTGTCCTTGCTTGCTTGCTCCTAGCGATAAGAAGGATGAACAGGCACCCAGCTGGCTTTGGGCCTAAGGCTGGACTAGAACTCAGAGTCTCCTGGTTCCTAGCCTGATGCTTTATCCACCACCCTGAAATGGCTCTCTAGCATCCACTTTGCAGGAAAAAAATCAAAAGGCCATTTTCTGACAATAACAGACCGCAATCTCTGAGTCAATAGGGAGTTTTCCAAAGTTTGGTACTAGCAATAGACCTTCAAAGAGAATTGGGTGTTTTTGTGACGCTCCAAATTGAGCCCCAAATTTCTAAGGGAGACAGTTAAGTGAGTTTTGCCCCATTTTACGACTCTCCTTGCCAGTTAGTAAATGAATCACTACAGGTGTTAAGTTAGTAACACGATTGTTAAGTGAATCTGACTTCCCCAGATCGCAAAAGGGGATCACGTGACCCCAGGAGACACTGCAACCGTCACAAGTACATGTCAGTTGCCAAGCCTCTGAATGTTGATCACGTGACCTGCAAAGGTCGTAAGGGTGAAAAATGGCCCTAAGTCCCTTTTTTTAGTGCCGTTGTAACTTCAAACGGTCAGTAAATGAACGATTGTTAAGAACTACTTGTAAATAGCTATACTGTAATCTACAGACCTATATATATATATATATATATATGCCTCAAAAGAACTTGGAAGGAAATGTGGGTCAAACAAGGGGATTGTGAATATTTTGACGAGACTGAATTGTGCAATTGAAAGAGAGAGAAAAAAACCCCTGTATTTCCACATGAATAAAACCGAGAGAACTACCTGCCTTTATTCTATAGGGGTTTCACATCTTGTTTCTTTTACCTTGGTTAGCAGAGGTTGGGTTTTCTCACTTTCCCAGTGGAAGAATTGCCACAGCAACTAGTTGTGATGTCACACCCTAGGAATTGTGACTTCAATCAAGGCCTGAAGGAAGGAGACGGTGACACCCGTCTCCCTACACAGGAATGGGGGATTAAAAACATTCCTTGGGGTTTTCATTTTGCTTCCCAATTGTGTCAGGTTTTTACTTTCCAAAACTGGTAGCTGATTGTCTGTCCGTGACTTATGGTGCAATTCAGATAGGACAGGATAGAATAGGATAGGATAGGATGCAAAAAGACAAAATACGAGGAATAGAGAATAGAATAGAATAGAATGCAAAAAGACAATATAATACGAGGAATAGAGACTAGAATAGACTAGACTAGGAATAGAATAGAGCAGAGCTGGAAGGGACCTTGGAGGTCTTCTAGTCCAGCCCCCTACTCAAGCAGGAGATCCATTTCAGACAAGTGACTGTCTAGTATCTTCTTAAAAACGTCCAGTGATGCAGCACCCACAATTTCTGGAGACAAGCCGTTCCACTTGTTAATTGTCCTCAACTGTTAGGAAGTTTCTCCTTAATTCCAGGTGGCTTCTCTCCTTGATCAGTTTCCAACCATTGTGAAAAGCAAGGCAGCCTGTGTGACTTAAGAAGTCTAATACGGAAATTAATATAAGCCAATATTAACTTCTCTGTAATCCCACGCATACTTACCTTGACTAATCCCATTAAATTCAGAAAGTCACCCTTCGTAAGAGACCCAGATCAATTCAGACTTTCTTATGAGTCACTCTTAGCCCATCCCTATCCCACAGCTTAATCTGAGATCATTTGTGGCGTCCTGATCAATGTTGACACACAAAAAAAGTACCGTCCCTGGCTAGAATTCAGATGTTCTTGTATTTTGAGCAGCAGGTCCCCTTCATCTACAGATTCTTCCTCATAGAAGTGTGTATTTATTGTTGGTTTAGTAATAAGTAACCAGAATGGAGCTGACCTTGGACATTCCTGGGCTTTCCATTTTGCTTCCCAGTTGTGTCAGGTTTCTAATTTCCAGCTGATTGCCTGTTTTTGACTTATAGTGCAATTCAGTTTGGAATATAATAGAAATATAGAATAGAATAGAATAGAATAGAATAGAATAGAATATAGAATGGACTGGAGTGGAATGGAATAGAAATATAGAATAGAATAGAACAGAAATATAGAATAGAGTAGAACAGAATATAGTAGAATAGAATAGAATATAGAATGGAATGGAATAGAATGGAACAGAACAGAATAGAAAATATGGAATGGAATAGAAATATAGAATAGAAATATAGAATAGAATAGAATAGAATAGAATAGAATACAAAAAGACAAAATGATATGAGGAATAGAATAGAATATAGAATGGAGTGGAGTGGAGTAGAATAGAAATATAGAATAGAATAGAACAGAATAGAAATATAGAATAGAGTAGAGTAGAACAGAATATAGTAGAATAGAATAGAATATAGAATGGAGTGGAGTGTTTGACATGGGTTACTGATTGGATTAATTTAACTAATAGAGATATATTGATTCTTGAAGGTTGGGACTTATATTTTGGATGGCATGCATATTTATTTTTTGATAACAAAGCTGATTCTATTTTTAAATCTCATATCTTAAGAGTGGCGATTTTGAGAATTTGGAAAAAGTATTATCACAAATTAAATTTTAAGATACCAATGTGGGCAATTCCGGAACATGCAATACAAGGAGTAACTACGGGAGTTAAACTAGAGGGAATTATTTATAGAGACTTATTGGTTCTATCTAAAGGGTCAAGACTGGCAAATTAAATCATTGGATGAACTGAGACAAGAGAAAGTGCTTCAGTCTTGGTTCTTATATTATCAATTGGCTGAAAGATGGTGTTTAGATCAAAAATTGGGTCTTATGTTGGAAGATGGGAATTTGATAAAGCAGATTAAAGATCAAAACAGAGCCCATATTAGAAGAATTTATAGTGTATTATTAGAGTTGGATTCGGAAACAGAATTAGTTAAAGATTGTATGATTAAGTGGGCTCAAAATATTCAAGAACCAATTATGTTAGAGACTTGGGAGATAATTTGGGTTAGAAATGTTAAGTTTACCCAAGCTCAGAATTTAAGGGAAAATTTTTATAAAATGTTTTAT